CTTTTGATCTGTACATTATAACCAACACCCCGTTTGGGCTCTGTATTCTCAATATGTCTTGAACTGCACAGTTTCAGTGCCGCCTGATTATTGCACAAATGTCTAATCACCGATGTGAAGTTATGAACATGCTTTTGGTGCTCTACGCAATGTTTGCGGGTTTGTATTTTGTTTTGACATTTAATTAAGTGAACTCATATGGTCATTCAACAATTTACTTAGGATTGTCTTTCGTGATGCCATATATGGAGCTTGTCTTTCTTCGAATAATGTGTTTCCTTGTTGTTGTCCTTCATGTACACTATGGTGTTTGTGTGGTAAGTGGGCTTAATGATTTTCACCATTTTAATGCAGGATACGGTCACTTCTCCTATTTCCTATTTCACTCCCATCTCTTTCGAGAAGGAACTTATGCAAATTAACGTTCTTTGATTATTAGATGTATACTTCCTTAGAGGGTGTTATACATATGCTTAATGGGAAAGTCGGAAGGGTTATCAACTAACTAAGGAGAAGAGACATTTTTTCTATTCCACCTTAGCGAGTTAGCGAGGTTCGGGAGGGTTTTTGTAATTGATAGTACCCCTGACAATTTTCAACAGTTCGTAAAATGCATTTATCAAGTCTTTGCGTCTTAGGACATTTCAGAACTATTGTGTGATTTTTCAATGCAGCAACGTCTTGACTATTCAGCTAGTTACTTTCCTCGACATTTTTTGTTCAATAACAATTTTAGGTTCGTCAGCTGTGTGCTCACTTCAAGATTCATGCATTGGATGTATCATACTTGCAAAAACGAGTTTAGGAGAGAAATTTTTATGAAACCATGTCAATAAGTGTCTTAGTTTTGTGATCTATAATATCTGATTTCCAAAATTTGCCTTCCAGATTTTCGTGCTAATCTAGTTTCGCTAGTAATTTGTTGTTGTTGATGTTTGCTCAAGGCTGTGCGCGTGTCTTTCTTCTTTCTCATTAGTGCATAGACTTAATAAATCATTAAAAATTTATTTATGTAGAATACATTACTAGAATAGTCTTATGCATCTTAAAATTGCTGTTTATATCTTGTTTTTGGAGGATTTGATCATTTCGAGCAATAGCTCAAATAGGCAAACAATAAAATAATCACTGTACTACCGCTCGTAAGAGCCGTTTTCGGCCAGAAATTGGAGAAAGGTTCCGATATTAAATATGCATTTGACCCTCTAAGTATTACCGCACTATATAGTAGAGGTTTAAATAACACAGCGGAAAGCCAGAACCAAAATGAGAAAGGTTTTGGGTGTGTAGGAGTTAATAGTAGTCAGCTAAAGGTGATACCTGTGACAAATGCTAAGTAAAAGGCACTACCAGTGTAAGCGGTGGATAAGTATGATGGCTGAAGCGGAGTGTAGCCGAACATTTTTTTT